CAAGTCATCTTCGGGAACATAGTCAGCCATCAACACTGCTTCCTCACAAGCTAACCTCTGCTCGCATTGATAGATGGCTAACTTCTCCAACAAGGTCGTCACTTCGGCTTTGCCCACCACCTCGTCTCGAAGTGGTCTACTCATCATTCATTCTTGTTTCAACTTTAGGTGGACCATCCAATGCAATCATAGATGGTCTCACAATGTCAGCAAGGGGGTCGAGGCATGCCATGCTCAATATCTTAGCACTTGACATCACCACTGTGCACGACCCTCCATCCATACTCCTCACTTGTAGAGGCCCAAAGTCTCCATGATAGAGTGGAGCCTCAGCCACGTTAGCACCAACTGCAAAGGGGTTGGTGTGTGCTTGTACTACCTCCACCATTCCTTCTTTATTCCAAAACATCAAACACTGATGAAGTGAGGATGGGACACACTTGTTGGCATGGATCCAATCCCTTCCCAACAAGGCATTGTAGCTTATCGCCCCATCCACCACAAAGAAAGCAGACATTTTCTCTTGACTACCAACTCCAATTAAGACCGGTAGTATCCCTCTTGCTGATGTTGATCCCCCATTGAAGCTAGTAACGAAGATATCAGTGGGAATCAAATCGCTTGTAGTCTTTCCCAATTTTCTTAACAGCCTAGTGGGAATCACATTGACAGCAGCTCCATTGTCAACAAGGATTCTTGACATCGGCATACCATCCAACCTAGCCTTGATATAGAGGGGCCTCAAATGCCTTAGCATACTTGGCTCCGGTTCCTTGAAAACCACTAAGTGACTTAACTCGTCACTTGTGTTCTCCTCCTTCATGACCCCTTTCCCTTTCAAGGTGGCCAGTTGCAAGACTTCTTCTTCACTCGTCGAACTTTCTTACTTTGTCGCCGAACCCTCAGCCTCACCATCAAACTCCCAACCCCAAGAAGGGTTCTGGATGGGTGCGGACGATGAAGCTTCAGGACCTTGGTATAACACATAAAAAGGGTATCTCCCATCATCTTCACCAAGTAAACCAACACTCTTATGGCCTGCTTCATGGAGCTCCTTCAAAAGTTTCTGAGAACTCTTGCCTTGTCTCGCCACCTCAGTAGCTAGATCGATTCTACTTCCCAATCGAGCCATCCTAGTACCCCATGGCTCATCACTTACTTCCAAACGAGCAAATGCTTCGGTTAACTCAGCAACTGACCCGTCTGTATCTCCAAATTTTTCTACTAACTCTTCTTCCTCCACATACCTATCCCGGTCTTCCTCATTGAATTGGAAGACCATAGGTAGTATGTAGTTTGTGACCACCACTGGTGGCAAACTTCCAAACTGGATTGTCAAAGGGGGTCCTTGGTCATCCCCTTCATCATCCTTATTGCCTCTATCGAATTTGGGATTGGGATGCTCATCTTCTAGCATGTCATCTTCAGCGTACTCATCTTCATATTCACCTCCTTCTTCTTGGAAGTCATCCTCAACCCCTTCATGAATTTTGACATCACCCTGAACTTGGACTTGCTTCCCTTTGTTAGTCATTGTCACCTTGAGCCCGGTAGTCACTGAGTTGTCCACCTCGATATTTGGTGGAGCAAAATCATTCTGTGGTGGTGGTCTGATCGTCGCACCAAGTATTACTGGATACCTCCCCTGCCGTGCTTCGGCATTCTTACGTAGGAATCTCCTCCTTTGAGTCCTCGTCATCCCTCCAATGGCTACTGGTTGTTGACGACGCATGTCATAAGTATGCCACCCTCCTTGTGGCACATTGGGCATCTTAAAAGTTCTCCTCGCGGGAGGATTTCTAATGGGAGGACTTCGCATGGAAGGAATGCCATGTGCTATCCACTGCCTTCGTTGCCCCCAAGCCGGCTGGACAACCCCCTCCACTTGTCTCTGATAAGAAGGGTATCTCGGCCTGTTGGGTGGGCCAAGTCTTTGGTGGGCGGAAGACCTCGCCTCATCAAGTGTTAGGCTCTTCTTGCATTGAGCACACAACTTCTCAACTTCTACGGATATGGGAGTCGATGCGGCTGTCTTAGCCTGCACGCCACTCGACGAGCCCCCTTGTTCATAAGTTGCATTGGAGCTCTCCTGTTGAGGCGGCGTTGTATCCAACACCAGCTTGAAACTGGGCAGCTCGATTTTGGAGAAGTCCGGGTTAACCATGTTGATGCCTACCACGTTAGGAAATGGATCAGTGTCCACCAACATTGCATCCTTCTTTGGCTCCGGGAACTTGATACGCCCTTCTCAATAGCATCCTGCAAGATGTTACGAAAAATCACACATGAGTTAGTGGCATGTGACATGCTGTTATGCCACTTACAATACTTCTTCCCTTTGAACTTCTCGGGTGGTGGTATATTATGCCCCCCAGTTAACTTGATCTGACCATCCTTGTAGAGTTGGTCAAAAATCAAGTCAGCCTTCGAGACATCAAAGGAGTACTTGCGTGGCTGGATGGGGGCCCTATTGGGTCTGCCCCCTTGCGGCTCGTTTTCAGCCTTAGCCAACGAAGCACAAACATATGGCTTCCCTGGAGCTAACTCAGCCAGGTCTACTTCCACCTCATTGGCCTCTTGGCCAAGATGGTTGATAGGGTAGTTAATTGAGGGGAAGTATTGCCCCCTTGATGCACTCCTCCTATTCTCCTCTTCTTGGAGAGAGACTCATATCTCACAGCACAAGACATGAGTTGGAACAAGTCCGAGAACTCTCTGTCTTGGAATTTCTTCCGTAACTCAAAGGTCAAACCCCCTTGAGCAAGCTTGACAAATTCTCTCTCTGTCAAGTTGACAAAGAAACGGTTACGAGCATTCTTGAAGTTAGTCAAAAAATGCTTGACCGACTCCCCTGGCTGCTGGCGCATGCGTGCCAAGTCAGCCATTGAGACTTCGGGCTCAGATCTATAGAACTGGGCATGGAAAATTTGTTTCATCTGTTGCCAAGTTTGGATAGAGTTAGACGGCAAGTTGACATACCATGCAAAAGTTGGCCCTATCAATGAGTTGCCAAAAAGTCTTAGCTTGACAAAGTCTCCCACGTCTCCACATTGGACAGTAAACCGTCCCACATGTTCAACAGTGGACTGGTCACCAGTACCCGTGAAGGTGGCAAACTCTGGCACCCTAAACCCTCTTGGGAATGGGTATAGCCTATCTACCCATTCTGGGTAAGGCTTACGGTACACAGGTGGCATGGTGGGCCTTACTCCTAATCCAAATTGTTCGGTAAGGAGTTGAGCCACCTGATCCCGTAGGGCATTAGCATCATGCCCCCCTGGCGGTACGAACCCCATGGGGTCCACACCATGCCCATGGACTTGGGGTGGTATGGGTGCTGGGTAAGCACGTGGAGGAACTTGATCCCCAACACCTAACCTTCCTCCCCCACCCATGTTAGTAGGAGCTACGTAGGGTCTCGCCACCGGGATGGATGGCGGTTGTTCAACATGGGTGTTGAACATATTTGCAAAATTTTCGCCACGTGGGGGAAGTTCCCCAACTCCCACATTAACTGAAGCCTCCACTTGAGTGGTGGCGGGAATCTCGCCGCGATTCACGTGGTGAGAGGTTGGTTGGGTAGTCACCGGCGGCGGTAGGTTATCTTGTCGTAGTTGGCCATTCCGGCCACCTACGGGAGAAAAATTTGCATTGTTTGGAGTTGAACTTGTGCCATCAATTGGCAAAGCTCGTGATTGTACCACTGGTGTGGTCAAAATTCTCCTAAACTCATCAAAATCATTCCTATTTTTAGTTACAATTTCAAAAAGTTGACTTAAACGTCTATCCACACAGGAGTTAAGACAATCAAGTTGAGAATTTACCTGAAGAGTGTTGCCAGCCAAAGCTTCCTCCATGAATTGGCGAAGTGACCCAATGGCAGCAACTACATCAACATTTGAGCTTGGTGCCGGCGGCGGCAAGGCTTCCCCGCCGTCATTGTCACCGGAAACCGCTTCAGCTAACTGGCCATGTTCAATGTTGGCCACTTGCTCCTCCACAAACCCTAGCGGAGCATCACTTTCCTGATTCTTTCGCCTAGGAGCCATCGAATCAAACACACAAACGTCCCACTGGGCATGCCAATTTGTTTTCCGGCGAGGAAAAACTGGTGTTTGAATTAAATGATTTGCACCTTGACTTCTTGAACAACGAAAATCAACACGGTTCACACCTCTCCGAAGAATGTTCGAAACAGGGTGTTTGATGTTTTTGATGGTTTTTTGGGAACAATCTAAGTTACTCTACTCCTATGGAGGTTCAGTGAGAGCTCCGAAAAGCTAAAAGCTGATTTGCAGAGAAAAGATAAATTTTGACATTGTGCGTCAAATGTTTGGTTGTGGAACCCCTCCTTCGTTTTCGTTTCTCCTATTTATAGCCATCCCTTGTAACCGTTGTGCAACCGCCTCTTGGTAACCGCTGCTCCACTGCTTGGTGTTTGATGTAGCTTGCTTGACTGTCTTGTTTGGTGAGTGAAGGCTTCACGCTTGGTGGTACTTGTGCTAACCCCCTTGACATGATGACGTCATGCCTTCTTTCCCATCACGGTCTAGTGACTTGTGTTGCCCTTTGGCTTTCTTCACCCCATAATGTCTAGGAGTACTTACCCGCAAGGTAGGTGTCATGCTTGACCCCCCCTTGGACTATGGGTCTCAACACTTAGCCAAATTTTGTCTAAGTATGGTGGGGTGCCCACTTGGGTGGTTGATGTGGAAGGGTGTCAACGCTTGACACTTGACCCCTCTTGCGTGACGGGCGGGTGTTTGGTGGGTCAAGTGGTGTGTGTTGAGGCACCTGGTATGAAGCCCAAAATACCGTTATTTAGGCCCAACCTAAACCAATTTAATTAACATGGTTAAGTTGGCCTTATAAATCACTACCACCCCTTGAAAATAATCAATATGGTATTGAGTGATTTTTTAGTGGTAAACAGAATGCAATACCAATATGAATGCTCTAAGCAATCAAACATGCAATCTAGCCGATTAACAAATAACAAACCCTGATTACTTTCATACCGACGAAATCGGGGATGTTGGGAGATGCGACATATTATTATCAATTCATACAAAAATTAATTGGAAATTGGGCAATAACTTTACCCAACTGGGGACGACTTTGAGAAACAAACGAAACGACACACTCCTACTACAAGTCTACAATACTCAATATATATAATGATCATCGACCAGTGATTACGACGACGAATTGGGTCTGCCACATTTCTTCCTAATCTCGCCCTGAGACCCAGTGAGGGGATCGATGTTCCCCATCTTGATCATCGCCGCCGCAAAGTCGGCCGCAAACGCCTTGGGGTTCTTGCTGTAGGATCTAACCAAGGAATCGGCCGACCCGCCGTCGAACAGGATCTGGTCGGAGTGGAGAAGACCCTTTTGCTTGACGAGGTTCTTGTAGTATTTGTTGTCGAAAAACGCCGCCGTCTTCACGTCCAGAGGGGCCAGCCGGTCGTCCCCTGAGTTCGCGGCGCTGGGGCACCGCTCTTGTCTCGTTCTAGCGAAATTGGAGTTGATGTTGGTCTCGTTGTAGATCCGGGCCCTGAATGTCACGCACCTGGCCTGCCCTATGGTGTGGGAACCTTCACATGTATATTTCAGCAACAGATTAGTTAAGAACTTCATCATACAGGGAATCTAGCAAGTAATTAAGGGACATTAATCACGCCGTAACGGATTGGGAAATCCACAATAGAAGAAAATGAAGAACACACAGATTTATATAATTTAAATTGTATTATCTAATCCATAGGCAGGACACCTCGTGAGTCGTGACAAATAATATGTTTTCAAATCATTATAATTAGGTCGGATTTAATTTGCTCGTCATTGTCGAATCGTGAGAAAGCGTGAAGAGAGAAGAAAGAGATACGAGATAGAATTTGGGGTGGATTAGAATTCTCATTGTTAGTAGCTCACCTCATGTATTCCATGCATCTTACGGTTGACTATGGTACACAATTGTCATTGTTTACGCATCACATGTGGATTAACGAATTTCTCGTAGTTGGTGCTATTAGTATGTGAAGATCGCGACTTTTGAATGTTTTCTCTCCATCAAATTTCAATTAAACGGCGCCCCTTTTTTGTTAATTTGAGTAATTTTTCTTTTTAGGTTAAAACCGGATCGGAGCAGACCCGATCCAATCCAATCTGGTCACAATTAACATCCGAAAATTGGATCGAACCTGTTCAGATTAACGGCAGCTTATTTAATAACAACAAATTAACGCGATTAGAAGGTTACCAGATAGAGCAACCATGTCCTTGGCAGAGAGGCCTCTGGCCTGGAAGCGAGTGATGAGCTCATTGAGGGTGGCGGTCGGGGGAGGGATGACGCCACTGTTGGCGGCGGCCAAGCTGGCTGTCTTTGAATCCCTTCTTCCTAGTCTCACTTTCCAGTTTGGCCCCTTAACCTGCAAGCCAGAAGAAAAAAAAGGGGAAGCAAACAGTATAAATGAATATCTGATTGATACAAATCAACACAGACTTTAGGAATCTGTTGTTTTATGTAGGAACGAATAGGAGGTCGACATACGAGGACAGTGGAGTCGCGAGCAGCGATGGCGAGGATGTCGGCGCAGGAGACGATGCCAGGGCAGACTTTCTCGACCTTGGATTTGATGTCGTCGATAACCTCAAAGCCTCGCACGGATCTATTGTTGGGACGGGCAGTTTGTTCTCCGGTGAAGGTCGGCGTGTCGTCCAGTAGTATCGATCCGTCACAACCCTGTTGAATATATTATCCAACGATAATGTTTTCAAGCACTACCATATTAGATATTGATATGATTAATACAATGATTTGGTCGTAAAATAAGTGTGGGTTCGAGTCGACACAAATATCAATATATTTACTATATTATTATAATGTCAATTTAACCCATAATCAATCGATATATATATGCTTGTGCATAATAGAAATATATGCATGTTTGACTAATTGTTTCGTCTAGAAAAATCTTCTATTTTCTATGTTTTCTTATGTAAAAAAACGCTACTACTTTTCATCTCAAGGAAAACCTAAAAGCAGGGTCACAATCAATTCAAGTTGTTAACTATTTGTGGAGTCAAGGAAGGGAGGGATGGATCCATCATATACTGTTATCCATTTGTTTAATTATTCACTAAATTTATTTGACTAAAGCTAACTTTAAGACCAATAATTGCTACATCTATTTGCCGGTCAGATCAAAAGATTTGTCCGTATATAATATTCCTTTATAATGTATAGTACATAAAAGGTTTTTCGGAAGAATTATCCTCGCACTATATATGTGATTAAAATCAGTGCAGTCAAAATCGCTCATTAAAACGTAAAAACTTACGTGTTTACGTATCTAGGCCACCAAAACGTTTCAGTTTCTATCTAAAGTCGCTTAGTCACAAAAACTGGTAAAAACATGGGTAAAATCGCGATTTTGAAGAGTTTTTATATGATTTTGATCATATCATAAAAATGTGCTAATTGGCCCAAAATTATGTAATTTTGGAGACATATCAGCAAAAAATAAAAAAAGGAAAACATGATTCATCACTCGTTCTACAACTAGTGTCCAGATAGGGGCTTCACATTATGTTAGAAAGACACATAATGGTATTCTCAACAGCCGCTGACCTTCTATCAGTCTTCTCCCTTAATCTTCACATGTGACTCTTACCTGGGTTACGATAAAAGTTTATTGGTAATTGTTCGTATGTAATTATGTAAACTCAAACCAGCTTATAAGAATTTGGATTCTCAAACTCGTTTACGGGTTACGATCTATACTTATGTGCTTATTATTAAGATATTATGAGTTTTCTTTACTTTTGAGTCAACACAAATTAGTTTATGTGTTAGATATTATATTTAATTATGAATTTAATGTATTAATTCACTTATATAAAATCTACACACTCACATTTTACATAATATATGCTGTACTTAACATATTTTAGCTATTTTAGATGTGCGTCAAACACTTACGCTTTTACGCTTTGATTCTACGTTTTACGATTTTACCCATTTTCCGCTTCTAGGTAGAATCGCGCTTTTAACTGCATTGGTTAAAATGACTTATTATCATGCAGGACATTTTTTGTGCTTCTATCATAGATTTTCTATTATCTCAAAGATCAATTTAACAGTCTAACATGCCAACACTAATACAAAAGATCCCATTTAATATAGTTGTGAATCATTCAAACTCTAGCTCTTGTGTTAACTTACAAAAAAATTCTCAAGAACATGTCCAAAATATAAAAAGAAAGTTTGGTCTTCTTTGATGGAAAAACATAAAATGAAGGAGCTATTCATATAAATTTTTCGAAAATCAGAGTTTAGCAACGGAAATGAGAAAAAGGGAAAAAAATTGCAAATAGAGAGAGACAGAGTTAATTACGTTGACAAAGCAGTCGTGGAAGTGCAAGCGGAGGAGAGAGGCAGCCATCCGTCGTTCTCTGGAGACGGCCGACTTCACGGCGGACCTCACCGTCGTCAGCAGCTTGGGGCAGCTCTTAGAGTAGAAGTTGGTGGAGAGCTGAGCCGATGATTTCCCAGCAAACGCCACCACGAGCAGTAAAGCCACCGCCAGCAAGCACGAGTGAGCACCCATTTTTTTTTCCTTTTTTGTTTCTTACTACTATAATATTGCAGGCGGCAGCTCCTTTGACCTAATGGAAACCGTAAAGGGTTTGAGAGATGGTAAATACCGTTGGAACTGAATAAGTGGTAATATTTATAGGAGGTGATTGGAGAGGGCTTTCATTTTCAATGTGCAGAAATAATCAACAGAGAAAGCTAATAATTAGGGCTGCTGCATGCATGCACCTGATCATGTCCTTATATATTTCTGTATGTGGACTATTACTACGAGTCTATGACTAGTAAAGCTCTATGCTAGCTCGTTGCATGGTTTGACAAATCAAACTCGACCATGCGGTGTATCAATTCCAATAATTCGAGTTGTTGAAACTTGGAAGATATGAATCATGTACTCCTTAGCAACACACTCATTTAGACGAAAGCCACCATATAAGGTGTTGAAGTTTGTAAAGGTCTGAATACAGTGTGCTTATGGTTTTCAGGATTCGAACAGAAGACATCTTCGTCGTCAAAGGCTCTGATACCATGTTAAAAACCAGTTGATCCCTATAACTCGAGTTGTTGGGAGATGTTCAATTATAAATCATATATATACCACTTACCAACAAGATCTGCGCTCATAGTCCAATTATATATTCTATACCACTCCATTATACACCCCTCAAGTGTAAGTCAACTCATGATGAGCTCGAAGTTTGTACATGTGTGTCATATTATATGCTTTAAGACAACAGTTAATATCAGGAGTTGTAAAGAATTGAATACGTGATGTCGAGGACAAACAAATGTTGACACCATGTCATAAATTTACTGGTACCAATCAATAGTATAATTTATAGCTGAAAAGTAAAACTGCCACCCCCATTCAAATTTTCCTGTCCATAGAGTGATTTTAGGAAGCTGATGTGGCAGGGTGTTGAGCGGGAAAAAAATAGAACTCCCCGCCAAATTGCAGAACTAAGAATCGTCCACTACCCACCTTTTTCTCCTGGTTTCCCACGTTATCATTTAGTTATTATTTATTTTTCATTTAATTTTCGTTTGGCTGAAATAAGCCCACATTTTCTACTGTGTTCCCACGTTATCCTTTCGCCTACCCGCAGGACAGGAGGAGAATCAGTTTCCCTCGGAAAATTCTGGTAAGAGGGCGGCACGGTTTCGTGTTCAGCGGAGGAAGGCGCTGACGGCCGGCTGTTGCTGAGTTCATGGGAAGACGACCAGATGTTTTGGTGGTCAGTGGCGGAAACCAGTGACGGCCCGCTTCTGCTGCGACTGGGGAGATTGCGTTTGGGAGTGCAGCGAACGATCTCCGTGGCAAAGAGGTTGTCGACGATCGAGGCTTTCCCTTCCGGCGAGAAGCACAACTACTGCCGCCGCCACCACCGTCTCCCCTGCCGCCACGAACCCTGCTTCTTCTTTCTTCTCTGCTTCAGCCTCTAGAAGGTCGCTACTAATCGCTCCATCTACTCGCATCCGTTGAGGAGCCATCGCCGCTGGGCTCGACGCAGCTGCTGCGGCCACCGCCGTCATCAGCGAAGCGCTCATCATCCCCTTCTTCTCCCACCCGCTTTCGTTGCTTCCGTTTCCTTCCGCCGAGCACTTCACCACTCTCCCTCTCTTCGCCATCGACGGCAGCCCTGCATATCGCCCAATCGATTCAATTTCTTGGTTCCCCCAAGCTGAATTGATAAAAGACATAGGTAATTGTGAATTTCAGGGGAGGGGGCGTCAAGAGTACTCACCTAGAACTGGGGCGGAGGAAACCCCTAGAGAGGGGTTGCGACGGAGAGATGCATGGATGAAGGAAGAAGCTGTGGTTGTGGCGGAGATGGACGCCATTTTTCACACTCTGACCCTGGGAAGGAAGGAAGGAAGGGATTAGGATGGTAGCTGGTTCTGTGAGAAACTACTGGAAGTAGTGAGCTTTGCAGAGGTAAAATGGAGGAGGTGATATAATTTGCACAGCTTAATACTGACCATAGAATTTGCCCCCATCACAAAGTTCCATGCTAAGTTACTCTCCTTATTGGATCTTTTAGTTGTGTATAATTCTTGGTTTCGTGATATGGTATTGGAGATATGAGCAGGTGAGGTTTGGAACGGACCAGAGCATTAGCAGCAGTTGGTTGTGAGATGGTATGTGTAAAATGGAATCATGGTAATTACTTGGCTCTGCTCATATAGGTAGGCTATATTTGAACCTCAAGGGAAGAATTCTTTTGCCACTTTTTAAGCTTTTTGTTTAGGTTTCCAACGTCAATGTGTGCCTGCTTTATGTCAACATAATCAAGCTTAATTGAAAGCAATACTTCCCACTTTGTTCACTCAATTTTTCTGTGTTTCACGGCTTTCTTATCTAACTTTTTTGTTTCTAAATTGCCTCTATTTTGGATATAACTTGCAGTTTAGGCTATGTAATCGACAACTAATGATTTAATCCATGACCTTCGGAAGAACGGTTTGAGTTTACATTTTCCTTATGTCATTAGTTCTTATAAGTAATTTGTTGAGTTCTTATGCTAATGTACGGTCTCTTTTTTCTTTTTTTTCCTTTAGTAGTTTGGTCCAAGAAATCATGTGATCATTAATTTTTCTTTAAGATCACTAGGTTCATCGATTTAGTTTGCCAATCAAGCATTTAACCTTCGTTTAGTTCCTAATTGAGAGCGTAAGATCATTTGTATAATAATAGTACATGCCTCCGATACTGTGTTAAGATGGAACTGAAATGAGTTTGATGTAATGTCTTTGTTTGGTCCACTTTTATTCAGTGTTCAAGAAGACGCGATTAATCTCTCGCCTAGGTGCGATTAATAGATGGGCAGGAGGAAATCGCCTAGTCTAGCTCTGGGCGATTGATCTAGGCACCTAGGCACTCGGAGACGCGGTTTCACTTTGGTGAGCGACGCCCAGAACAACTAATAAAGGGGAAATTGTAGCCTTTTTGTGAAAATCCCAAACCCTATTCTATTTCCCCTTTCCACCCGCTCTGTAGCCTCCCCGAGAACCTGCCCAATCCTCGTGGAAGATCGATCAATCTGCACTCGCATTTGCCGGATTTGGTAGGCTAACTGGGTTGCCGGTGCCAATAGTCTCTCGAAGGCCCAGAGGTTTCTATTTTTCCATAGTTGCCAACAGAAAGTAGCGAAGAGGGATGCGTCTATCGGTCTATGGTATTAATAGTCATCTTTATCACTATGCTTTTCATTTTATTTGTTGCTTCTAATTATAATGATCAACAGATAAGTCAATAAAATATGTGATCGCGTTGACCTATCAATCAATTTGGAATTGTGCAAATTGTTGAAAATAAACACTATTTCAAGAGACATTGTTTTATGCAGGTATAACAGCTCCATTCTCTACTAGCAAAAGCAAAGTCGATCATTTGCCTGGAGGGAGGGAAACATCTTTGGGAATCTTCTTGAAATTCCCTGACTTTTATTGTTGATCATCTGACCTTCCAAAAATAGTGATGAACATAATTTAATTGTCTATTTTTTTGCAAGAGGATAATAGATTACCAACTAATTCATTAATAATTCTTGAGCTTTACGGATGGTATTCTTTTTAATTAATTTTCTTTATTATAGTTATTTATTATTGTAAATTTTCACTTCATAATGTTAGTATACGTGTAACTATAAACAGAATTGTTGAAAGCGTACTAGTATTTGTGGATACTCGAAACCTAATATGCTATGAAATAGGTGGCAGACACAAGGACTGTCGTAAATTTAGCATATGTTATACTATCGAGCTAAAAGCCGAGCACAAAGCTAAGAACAAATTTATGGGCACACAAATTTTTGACAAAAAAGTTTTTATTTGTTGGTGGTACATATTTGTTATAAATTTTTAGATTCTTTCAAATGACATAGTAGACAAATCTATAAGTGTTGACTTTTAGATATCAAAGGCAACACCAAAATCAAATATAAAAAATCCATATTGATTTCCTAAAATCATGAATCTTTTTCAGAAACTTAATTTTCACAACAAATGATTGTATGTTTGAACTATAGAGTGCCTTATTTAATTAAATTTTTGAAGAAATAATTGAAATATTTCAAATATGTCCATTATAATACAATTGTACTATCCGTATACATTAATGTTAGCTATTAACAACCACAACTGCTTTTGGAGATATATATTATTTAGAAGTGAATTATTAGTTAATAATTTTGTATTTTCTCAATTAGTACCTAATGGTTATCGACCATAAAATTTGAATCCTTTATTTGATAAATATTTATCCCTCCAAATTACTAATAGGGAAAATCCCTTGGAGTTTATAATTAATACTTCAATGCTTAATTATTTTATTTTCATGGATATAATAGAAAATTAAGTGAATAATATCAAATTTTATGAAGAAATATTTTTTAAGTAATTTATTCTAACAATAGGAAGTGATTTTTTTCTTAAATGTAAAAAATATATAGACAACAGTAAGCGATAGCATGATCAATACAAATACTTATAAACTAACTACTGTTACAATCAATAATTCGCACAAATATTAGTTTCAACCCACTAATAAATTATTTAGACGATCCCAAATTATTTGAAAATATGAAAAAATAGATTAATAGAAAAATATAATAAATAAAACTAAATTCATCCGACCAACGGTCGGGTAAAAAGCTAGTAACTTAAATTGTTAGAAGAGTTTCGTATCATATATAAGCTTAGTTTGGCCCTGCGGTAGCTTTTGCAGAAGCAGCTTCTGGCTGGAGCTTTTAGATAAGTACTTTTAAAAGAAAGCAGTTGAGTATTTGGCCGTAAAACTATTAGAAGTGTTTTTTAATATGAAAGAATGTGTAAAATGACTATAAAGGACTTATAATATAAAATATGAATAAAAATTCTAAACAATAAAAAGTAAACAAAATGGATCTTGTTAGATTTCTTTTATATTAAATAATATGATTTTATAATTTATTTTATTTTTAAAATGATATAAATGAAGGAAAATTATATTTACTGAAATAAAATTAAAATATGGTAAGGATAATCTTGTATTTTCAAAATAGCTTTTCGCAGAAGCTCCAAATCAGAGCTTCTGCTTTTATGTTATACAAAAGCACTTTTCGGCTTTTCAAAAGCCGAGCTTTTACAAGTGTTTGACCCTGCTTCATCTTTTGAAGCATAAAAACACTTCTAAAAGTCGGGCCAAACATAGGGATTATAGAACTGGTTAGTCGGATTAGCTAGGGAAGGGATTTAACTGTTTTAACAGTTGGGTTTAAGACAGTCACATTAAATGAATTCAATGCAAACAGTTAATTGATTAGGTTAGCGAAACTAATACGCCATCGATTGTCCAACTGCCCCAATTGGACCGGGTGTAGAGTAAAGTTTGCAGCCCCGGCCCACCGCGCGACAAGAGTTGGCGGTGGCAGGCAGCCTCTACATATGAAATGAATATGATTGAGCCAAGTGATCTAGAGTAAACGTTTGATTCACAAGTTGTAAAAGTCAATATTCCTATACATATATATAGCAACCTCGAGAGTTCGTTATTTGACTGACTACGTACCATTCAAATCCCACGATGCTATTGCATTTATGGAAAGAAGAAAAAAGAAAAAAATCCTTCATATATGGATAGCATCTTCTTTCGCCAAACTTATTTGTCAAATTTTTATATGGCGGAAATTGTATGTTATGAATGAATATGCATAAATTAATCATTATAATTTACGATCAAATTAATTTAAGTTGAACACGTAATATCGGACTATGCTTTAAAAAAATAGCACTGATATGTCACGTTTAAAAGAACTAACTGTCTACAGTCCTTGGTGACAATTTGACAAGTGACAATAATTTATTTTACGATATTATCAAGCAGAAGTTTCAAAATCAAAAGTGTTTTGCAAGTAGTGTCTGCTAGCTGGAATTAATTAATGGTTTGGAAGAAAATAGATCTCAGTTGACATGTTCTCAATTGTCTGTTTGTGCATCAGGAAAAAACAAAAAAAATCGCACAGAACTACCCTTTCAGTGATATTTTGATTATTGACAAGATCAACTGTCCTATTAGATAGTATGGCAAAAGATAATAGTCCTATTCCACCGAATTCTTGCATACTCTTTCTTTCTGTAACACTTTTAACGAATTCCACATCGACAAAATACGAGATCCTTGTTTTATAAGTAAGGAACCAACATTAATTGACAAAGCGTATATTAAGATGAAATAAAAGAATTATTGTAAGAACTCCAAAGTTAAACATGCCCACTATAAATCACTACAAATATGCAAATGTGTGACATTATAAAAAGTCACCTTAATATTGCACTACAAAACTTAATATTCACTTACCCTTTCACTCTAATGAAATTAAACAAAAAATATATATATAAAAAACCCAGCAAAAGATAATAGGGAGCCCAATTTGTTAGTAGTAGGCCCATACAAGTTTACAGGCTCAATATTCTCTTAGACCCATACCCAGCTAAGCAATTCGTTTGGGCTATTGGCCCACCCCATTCCAGTTCAAAGAAAGAAAAAAGGAAAAAAAAATGCCTCTCATTTCACCGACTCCGCCGGCCGGATAACTTCAGTGTCCTCTTCTCCAGTCGACCCGACACCAACGGACACACGACGCTACCGGTTGACATCGAACTTCCTCTTCTGTCGCGGCTGAGACCAGACGACGGAAGGCAGGTTTCTTCAGTGTTCGAATCCTGACCGAATTCGTTCAATTTCTTGAGATCCTACCGGTCTTCCTCTATATCGGTAGCTGATGTTAACGCTCCTAGGCCTGAACATCAGGTAGAGCAGAGGATTGGATTACTCCGACTATCATTGTAAGTCTTGATCAAGATTGCTGTCTTTTTTATGTTCAAATTTCACCCTAGAAAAGTCCGCTTAGGCCGATTAAATGTCTATCACTAGGGTTTTGTTGGATTTCATGTTCTTTCTCTTTGTCCCAATTGTTTGGTTCTGGTGTGTTGATTGAACGAGCTTTGGCTATACAATACTGTATCAATCTCATGATTAGTATGGATTGAGGGTGTGAATTCGGGATGCCCGTTCCCCATTCGATGAATTGTCTCGCTGTATGCTAATGCCGCCTCATTTCCTTTCTGCTGATTGTATGGATCCAAAAGTTCTGAACTCTTTGCATGAAATCATTGGAAATTCTGAAGGAAGAAAGTGTTGCTTGTGAACGTTTGACCATTTATGGCGCTCTTGCTTAAGAAGAAGAGCTTTGAATGTTGAATTGTTAGTTATAATCATTTTGGGAGGTTTCAAGTTTCCATTTTGGTATGAATATAAAATTTGAGATGGATGGATCTTTTGTTTTAGATCATAAACGACTGGTTTTTTTAATACCTTGAACCTTAACCTAATACGACCTTTGTATTGCCAGCATTGCTAGATTCCTAAACTCCTTGACGCGAAGTGGAAGTTTAAGGTGGGATTGCAAGATTGATCTAGGCTTAAACGATGGAGAGATCCCAGCAGCAGGAGATCGGAGCTCTTGAAGCTTCTCTAATGAACCTAGTCCAAGATCACCAACACGCTACTGTCCGCCTGCAGGAGCAGACAGGTGAATTGTCGATTTTCCAGAGCTTTGATTTCTCCTTCTTGATATCTCTGTTGATTCTGATTTTCACATCAGGGATTCTTTCACAGAGAAAGCTAAGAAAGACGCAATCAGGAAGGCTGTGAGGGTGTCAAATCTGTTAGTTGATGCTGTAAATGGTGGAGTGGAAGAGTCGTTTGTAATTGAGAAGCGAATCGAGTCGGAGATTCGAGTCTTGGCTGCCACCATTACTCGATTCATGAAGCAGAGCGATCAATGGCTATCAGCTACTCATGCTATGAACACAGCTATCAAGGTTTGTTGCTTACTGCGGAGGGAATTTAATTCCCCTCTTAACTGTTTTCCGTTCACCTTACGAAAATTGTTGATATAAGTTGGGTTCTGTGAACAGGAAATTGGCGACTTTGAGAACTGGATGAAGGTAATGGAGTTTGATTGTAAAAGCATTGGTGCAGCGATTCAGAACATTCACAAAGAATAAGGGCAGGGCCTATTATGTTGCGTCCTCGCTGCCTTGTATACCAGGCAAGTTCATATTTTTTATTTTTCTCTTTATCTAGATCCCCATTGAAGATGTACTGAATAGAAAAGCTGGTGTCTTTCCCTAAATCGGAGCAGAATTCGCGTTTACTCTCCTTTCCTCAGCTGGTTTGTGTGAATGGAATCATTCCTTAAAGTAGATATGCACCCAATTTGTTAAGACTTCCATGCTTTCCTTAATGATTCTATAGAATCCAGACTGAACAGGAGTTCACGTTCACATTCTGCTTTCTTGCTAGAATACCAATCATTATATTTGTAGGTAGAAGCAAATTGCTGTATTATACTGGTGTGTTTGGTTGGGGGAACTTCAAATTTTCCAATATGCAGAGCTGGATTGGTGAGTATAATACGTAAGTAGGTGGAGCAAGTATAAAGATGTATATGCATGTTGTGGATGCAATCAAAGTCTTCGTCGTGTTAAGCACAATGATATAATATGAAAGTCTCCTCTAACAATGGATGTCGAGTTAACTGCTTAACCATTCCTTTATCTCTCTTTAATTGCAGATGACATTTACATTATGCATGGAATATGGTCCACCATACAACATAGTTCTTGATCTGCCCTCTGTTGTCTTTGAAACAGAGGTGAAGAATATTCTTTTGCTAGTGCTGCAACTTTGACCTTTTACCTGGTAGCCAGCCGGGCATCTCTCTCCCTCCATCTAAGTCCAGGAGGTTGGAATGAACGTGTTGTGAAGTGGAGTTGCTGAAGCATGTGGATGGGGATTAGGGCTATATGCTCCTTTATGAACAACTCCCGACAAGCTCTGGTTTTTAGGCAGTCCGAGGATTGACTTCTGATCACAAAGTTCCGCTATCGCCATCATTGATGCAGTGGTTTGTCTTTTTATTATCATCATCGGATTAGTTGTATGTGGAACCTTTCTGGCTGAACATTTAAGTCTTCGGCTCTAGTCATGTGGGATTGTTAATCAGTTTTTGCACCACCAAATTACGGGCATGTCAGAGTTGTTTAGTGGAAATGGTTATGTTTTTTTTTTTTGCAAAATCGTCCCTTTATTTCATAACCATTTTTGGTTTGCACTTAAGACTATTGGTGTTTTAAGTTTAAATCGCGATGTTACCCGTTAGATGCATCCAACTGCCGAGACCAAGAGTATGAATTGACGATCCAACGATATCAACTTGTGCTAGCTCCATTGACAATCCGTCGAGCGTAGCCTGATTAGAGATCCAACTAGTTAAACAGGTGTACAATGACAGTGGGGTTTACTTGTTAGAGAGTGATATAAGATCAATCATAACCTTCTTCGTTCTCCCAACAACTCGAGTTATTGGGAGCAACTGGTTCTTAACATTACTATCATACAATCGGTGACATGCCTAGTAATGGCTCCGCTGGTGTATAATCATGATATCTGGATTTGCTGAGAGTTGACAAGCGAGATACTGTGAATGGTTCCAAAGGAAACGCGTCAATCATAATCGGCACTCTTTGCAAGAAGGAAAAATTAATTAGACGAGATTTCCCCATTGTAATTAATTAATTGCAGAAGAATAATGATTAAATGAACATGGATCCATCGTGTGGATGGCACGATCCTGTATCGCCCGTTCTCCAGCCAAACGGGTAGCGCCTTCCTCTTATGGGTGGTAAACGATTAGTCAGGGGTGGTAAACGATTAGTCAGTTATTGATTTTAGTCGATAAAGGAATCAATAACAACGGTTAGTTGTAAGGATGGCAATGAGTCGGGTCGGGGACGGATAGTGCATATTCGTTATCCTACCCAAAATAGTTTGGGTTTTACCCATACCCATATAATAAACGGGTAGAAAATCCAAACCATGTCCATACCCATTCGAGTTTCGGGTATCCACGGTTATCCATGGGTTAAGACAAAAAGTACGACAATAATTCACTAGAATGAAGAAAATTAATTAAAACAACACAATTTCATAAAAAATTATATTTATATGTTAAAAATAAAATATGTTAGAGAAAAATATTGATTATTTATAGATAAAATACATATGCATGTGTATAATCGGGTGGGTTCGGGTTGGATAGTGAGAAAACCATGCCCACCCATTACCCGGAATATTCGGGTTCGGGTTTTACCCATACCCACTAAAAGTCCTTCGGGTTCGAGTTTTACCATACCCAATTAGATTGGATTCAGGCGGATATCAACGGTTATGGATATTTATACCATCCCTAGTTAGTTGTTAATCAATAATCGATAATTTTTAGTGGTTTGGTTTTGGTTAGTTGTATTTTGCTTAGTGGTCAACCAATAAGAAAAATTGATAAGCACCTACTAGTATAACAACATTATTTTTGGCTTTGGCTAAGGGGAAAAGTCACAAGATTCAAAATCAATCAAAGTCGCAATTTTAAACATCCTAATTAACACCTATTGCAAACAACTCTCCACCAAAAGTTATGTTTAAGAGTTAGAACTCGAAAGTCATCCCTCGCTTACTTGACTTTGCATTTGACAATTGAGCGAAACTTGCCCCATAGGAGTCTTTGTTTGTTTGATGCATGTTTGTGAATAATGATGATTTTGTGATACTTGTGTTTGATGTTTAGCTAGTTGGCACTCTCTAATTCAATAAAAAAGTTGGATATGGATTATGAATTCACGAAAGATGTTATATTGTATTGAAATTCTTTATATAATTATATTGTGTTAACAATATAGAAATGTAATTAAATTGTTTTGAATTATTTGTATAATTACATTATTATATTATTAAAAATTACTACAAAAGCTCAAAAGAACAAAAGAACAATTCCATATGTGAGGATTGTTATTGGTTAGCGGTTAACCGTCAAACTAACAGTTAATCGAACCGATAACAGGTGGCCAACCGATAAGTCTCATCGATTAAGTTTTCGGTATGCATTTTTCACTTAGTGGTTAATCACTAACCGCCAAATCGATTATTGGTTAACCGTAACTCAACCAATTAGCACCCTACTTCCTCTACATAATGATTAGTGGGAGTAATTAATGGTAATTGCATCGCTGTCAATCCATAGTCTCCCTGCTACAGAAAAAAACAACCTTCAATACAACATAAACACACACGTCTGTCACATATCCTATTCCTACCTGCACTCTGCAGATAGATGGAAATATATGCATGCATAATATAATAATACGTAATACCAACTAATCCTCAATCATTTCGAGCTGTACTTGTTATAAATAGCTCGTCTTCGACCTTCTCTTCACCATCATCATCTCCAGAGTTAGAAAACGATCAGTTTTCTAGTAATTTATAGGCAATACTAGCTAGCTAGTACTGTTAATTAACACTTGGGTATCCCATCCCTCAATCCATCCGCCATGGCTGCAGCCTTGCGAGCTTTGCTGGTGTGTTTTGCGGCTGCTTTCTTCATGGAAGCCGCACAAGCCCAACTCAGCCCCAATTTTTACCAGAAAACGTGCCCAAAAGCCTTGCCAGCCATTAAGAAGATCGTCAAGGAAGCCATCAAGAAGGAGGCTCGAATGGGTGCATCGCTCCTCAGGTTGCACTTCCACGATTGCTTTGTCAATGTAAGTCTTGAGTAGTGATATCAGGAATAATTTTCATACCGATCAGCTAAAGTTTAATATTCCATTTGGATTTGAATGTTCCATTTGCCATATGATTGATTAGGTAATGGATGAAGTTTAACCAAACATCTTTAGTTGTGTTTTAAATATTTCGTGGTTGTTAGTGCGTCGCGTTCTTAATGTTAAAGTGATTTTTTTTCTTATATGCTTGGGATTATTGCTTATGTATAGGGGTGCGACGGATCGATACTTTTGGACGATACAAAGAATTTCACGGGGGAGAAGACTGCACCTCCAAACTTGAACTCGGCAAGAGGATTTGACGTCGTGGATAAAATCAAGACGGCAGTTGACAAAGCCTGCAAGGCCAACGTCGTCTCCTGCGCTGACATTTTGGCGGTTGCTGCTCGTGATTCTGTCGCCATTGTAAGCGGTCCAAACCCGTAAACCCTCTACTAAATTCCTCCTCCATCTCATATCCTACAAAGCTTTTATGCAAACTGAATTTCAACCGAGTCATTACCATGTCTATTTAAATGAAACTTCATAAACGTTACACGACATCCGTAACACATGTTTTTGCTTCAATCAGAACAATATCAAGAATTCACAGGCTGAACATTTTCCCCAACTTTCACACCACATAAAAAACACATCACGTCGAAAAAACATCATCCAATAATACGAGTTGCTCGAAGCTTACAAAATATCAAATCTCGAGCATCATTCATTTTTACCATATTATTATATGCCCTAATCTGTTTTTAACTACATAGTTGGGAGGGTCAAAGCACTACTACCCAGTCATGCTAGGAAGACGTGACGCCAGAACCACCACCAAATCCGCCGCCACCAACAACCTTCCGCCGCCGTTCTTCAACTTCTCGCAGCTGGTCGCCAACTTCCAATCCCATGGCCTCAACATCACCGACCTCGTCGCCCTCTCCGGCGGCCACACCATCGGCCTCGCCCGCTGCACCACCTTCGCCAGCCGCATCGCCAACGACACCAACATCCCAGCTACCTTCGCCGCCTCCCTCCGTCGCGCCTGCCCGCCCGCCGCCGCCAACGGCCCCGCCGGAAACGCCACCCAGCCGCTCGACCGGACCCCGGCGAGCTTCGACACGCAGTACTACGGGGCGCTGGTCCAGTCGAGGGGTTTGCTCCACTCCGACCAGCAGCTGTTCGGCAGGACGGCGAATGCGGCCAGCAACGGTCTCGTGAGGCTGTACAGCGGGAATCCGGCGAAGTTCGCGGCGGATTTCGCGGCGTCGATGGTGAAGATGGGGAACATGAAGCCGCTCACTGGGAAGCAAGGGGAGATCAGGAATAACTGCCGCAGGCCGAATTAATTACTCCCACTGGATTTGGAGTTTTACTTTGTTTGTGTTTGATTATTTAATTTTCTGGTTGTGATATTCATTCTTTTGGGTCGTGATGGCGTGAGAGAGTATTGAGTTGTTTGTTCAAATAAATGGAATGAAAAGTTCCTACGTTGGTGTGGGGATAAAAAAAAAGCACATCATCTCCATTGTTTTTTTTATTGAGAAAAAAATTTGATTTCATGATGTATGAAATAAGAAGTGGTTGAAGGAATTGTGTATTTGTTCGCGGTGATTAATGGGATTGTGTAAAAACATGCAATTTGTTTATTCGAAAACATGTCAGGTAAGATTGAGATTGATAGTGGCGGAGCCATTCAAGGCAAGCCCAAGCTGGTCATTTGCACTACGTTGACCTAAAAAATGTAAAGTAAATTTTTTATGTGATTGTAAATTAAATATAAAATCTTCATATTATTATAAATAATTTAAAAAAATAATATTTTGTGATCAATAATTAATTTTAATTTATTTATTTGTAAGTTAATTTATTATAAACAAAAATTCGACCAAATTCTCTTTTCCCCTCTTCATTTTTTGACGTATCAACTCTGAATTAGACAATGTCGTAGCTCTTTCTATGTCCTTTTAACCTGTATTCTCTATTTTTTTTACCCTTCATTTCCAACCAATCTTTCATTTCTAATTTAGCCAAAAATAAAGAGAATAAGTGAATTAGTAGGGCAGGACTAGGACGGGTAAAGGGATAGGAGTTAAGATACTTGCCTGGTCGCTTGTTGAGGTGACTTCAAAGTTGTAACAAAATAAGAACAATTTGAAATGTGTAACGGCAATAGTGTCACATATTCGACCTTGATTAATGTACAAAATCATTATTTATGGTTAAGAGAAATTGAATCTTGAAAATTCAATTCCAACAGTCATTTCCTTTCAGCAAAGAAGAAGGTTAATGCGACAGCGTTTTCTCCAAGTTTTCCCACCACAGCAAAGCGGTGTCGTTCTGATAGTCACACTTAGGGCTAGAAGTTTGGTACCCGTATTTGGGATATACCGAATACCGTACCGAATTTTTCTATATTTGGTATTACCGTATACACGTATTATTTCGTGGGATTAAGATTGGGATTGAATTTTAATTGTTA